TCCATTTTACTCCATTATACAGCAAAAATTCCGATTTATTCATTTATTATAAAAATGGAATTTTTCCGGGTCTCTGCGCTAGGACGGTTCATTGGTTGGAGTGGTATCACGTGGATGCATTTAATGATGAAATAGATGACCGAAAAATTTGTATGGAGGGTATGCATTTAGAACTTTGTGCCTAGCTCGGTGCTAAACTAAAAAGTGCATATAGAGAGGTATAGGTGGTGCACTTAGAGCAATTTGATTTTATCTAGATTAATCTTGCAAAATCATATACAAGAAAATAAAATGAATTTAGATATGGCCTTTTATCAAAATTTTTATTTATTTATATGTTTAAGAATGTCCGAAGCGTAATAATGTCAAAGATCGATCGGCAGTGCAATTTTAAGTTTGCATCAGCTTTTTTGTTGGTGCACCAAATTTGTATTAACTTAAATTGGGCAAACCTAAACGCCTAAATTTTAAATTCGTATCCTTCCCTTATAGGGAAAAAAAAATTTCATGAAAGAATATGTTAAAGAAATATTTAGTATATTTTATTACATTATTAGTTGGGATAAATTCGATAAATTCACAATCGACATCTTTCATTCCAACAAAACGGTTTGAACATTCTGCAACGCTTATCGATGACAAACTTTACATCTTGGGTGGTTTAAGCCTATCATCAAATTTACCAAATGTCACGATTGGAAAGGAGTTTTTTTATCTGGATTTTTCAACTTCATTTGATAATCAAAAATTAATATGGAAAGATTTAACAAATATTAATAAGGTTCCATCACATTGCGATAGTGCAACAGCTAATGGAGGTTTAAAAAATACTTTGGTTCTATTTGGAGGGTTCAAATTTATTAATGTAAAAATGGATTTGGTATACATGTATGACACCAAAAAGAATTCATGGGATATTCCTACAATTGAGGGAAATGAACCTAATAGAACTAGAGCTTTATTTGCTAGTATCAATGATTTGGGAAAAATATATTATTTTGGTGGATCTTTTAATGACAGCGTTGTATTTGATATGGTCATTTTAGATACGATAAATTTTCGTTGGAGAAGAGGGAGTCTTATTCATGCACCTATCTCTAGAGAAGATTATGGTTCTACCATTTTACCAAATCAAATTATCGTTTATTTAGGTGGGGTTTATAAAGATCAAGAGAATTTATATAATCATTCAATGAATGATGTTTACTTGTATGATACCGTTAATAACATTTGGACCACTAAAGTATGTAAAATAAATTTAATATAAAATAATCTTGGATATTTTTTTTTAAGTAATTCCTTAATCGGCTTGACGGTCAGCGAATAATAATTTTTGGAGGATTAACTGTTAAAGAAAATACCGATTCACTTTATGTGTTGAACTTAACAAATTATGTATGGTCCATTCCAATCGTTACCGGAAAAGCGCCTTCTAATCGAGATGGACACAGAGCAAATGTAATCGGGAAATACATGGTTATATCTTTTGGTAATATTATTTTGTGATTTAATTTGATTTTAAATTTCAATTTTATTTAAAAAGCAAATACCTCTTATGTTTTAATAGGAAATGGTTATAATCATGAATTTGAAAGTGATATTCTACTACTTGATATTAGCAATAATGATGAATATGAATGGACGAACTTATTTGACAGATCATCAATACCGATACAAGTAGATACACCTACCACGCCAAAATATTCAGATAATAAATTTCCTTTAATTGGCGCGATTATAGGCTTAGCTGGTATTAGTTTATTACTTCTTTGTGCTTTCTTTTTATATAAATGGAAACGCAAACGAAGTCAAAGGATACATTCTTAAATTTAAATTTATTTTGACATCATCTTTGAAAATAGATATTTCCATATGTATTGACTTAACCGATATTCTTTTTTTCCTGTTTTTATGTGTGTTTTATTAATGCTGTGATTTCATTAACTTCCTTACCGCAAGTTATCTAGTTATTACTAAGGCTGCGGGTAAAACCTTAGGTTTCGACAGTACCATCGAAATTTAATAGTCTAATCGTCTGAAATCAAAGCGATTGTATTTTAACATGACAAAGTATTTCAAATTCATATTCGATTTGCAAGATTTTAGATCATATGAAATCAAAAAAAAAAAAAAAGTAAATAAGTTTAACATTTCTGTATATGAGATTTTGATGACGATCGCTCTATTTTTCTAGAAAAAAAGACAGAAACGTTGAAAACTATTTACTATATATCAACTTTCCAATATTATTAAAAAAAAAAGATGGTATTATTTACTTTATATTTCAATTGGATATTGTATCACAATTACTTACATTTAATTTGCATTATTTATATATAAAAAATCTTTTATTTTATAATGATTCAACATGTAAAAAAAAAGAAAAGTTTATTGAATAAAGAAAAAATGAAAAAGAAAATTTAACAATGCAGACTGATGATACTTTTTAACAATTATATACATCAAGTATAAAAACGTTGTAATAGCTTATAAAATAGTATATATTTAATAATATCAGCAAAGTAGTACTTTAAAAAGAAGATAAATTGATAAAAGTTGATCTTTAATATAAACTTCTTCAACTTAGCACTTTACAACATCTCATAATATATCAATTTTTGATGAATTATTTAATGAAAAATTTTGACATTTGATCTCATGATAATATAACAACATTTAAAAAACTTCTATCATTTAATTTTGTAATGATTTACTTTATAAATTTTATAAAAAAGAAACTGTATGGTTAAATAAAAGATATTTAATTAATATTCTTTTATTTGCAGAATTATTAATTAGTATATTATTTGAATTTTCATCTTAGTAAATTGAAAAAACATGATTTGAAATTATTGACAATTATTATCAAACTTCTTATATACATCTAAAAATTATTATAATTTTTATTATAATATTATAAAATATAAAAAAATAAATATCATGAGAAAACTTAAACTTTTATTAAAACTTTGATTTTATCTATAAATACACCTATTACTACAGAAAAAGTAATTAAAGAGATTTAAGATTTGATAAAAATGATTAAAGAATATGCTAACTATTTTTAAAATATGATTTATAGAATATGAACTATACATACTAATATAATTTTTATAAAATAAATATAATGATATTATAATTGAGAATATTAAAGCAGTTAATTAGTATAACTTTTTCATAAATCTAATAATTATTATCTTTTAAATATAAATTATTTACTTTTTTTAAATCACAAAATATGTATATTTTTATTTAAAATATATATTTTAATATATTTTTTATATTATATTATTATAATCATAACAATTATCTTGATATTTTAATTTTATATAAAATTTATTATTAAATAAATATGATAAAATAAAAAGTATAATATTTTTATAACATATGATCAAAATCTCAATTTTTTATAAAAGATAAATATAAAATGCAAAAAAAAACACAATAAATAAGATTTTTTTTTTTTATTATTTATATTTAAATTTTTTTGAAAATAATAAAAATATTATAATTAATTTTTTATTATTTTGAAAATATTTCTATATAACTTTTAGTAGTATTTTTAATAGTTCAAGTATAATTCAAGTACTTATTAAGATTTAACAGAAAATTTATTAATATTAAATAATAAAATTAATAAAAAAATATATAAATAAATAAAATTGATACTAGATTTTGATACTATTATAAATTTTTATAAAATTATTATGAAAAAGATTGTTTCAAATTTTAAAAAGTTATACCTTTAGTATATAATCAATAATATATATTAATTTTATATGCTAATTGTTTTTTTAATTAAAGATCTGATATAGTTATAAATATAATTTCATTTAAACAATATTAAAATACTTTTAATAAAATAAATATAATTTTAATTTTAACCTAAAATAAAATTATTAAAAATTATTATATAGATAAATTTTAAATTTATTTAAAATTTCTTACTTTTTTTAAAAAAAAT